TACACAACTCTGCCCGAGTCGGGTTTCGAACCTCGAGACCCCTCTAGGTAGCCAAGCCAAGTTCAAGTGGCCTCTCGACCACGCTTCCCACAACGAAAACTTCCTAGAATCGACAGTTTTACAAAAAGACGTATGCAAACCTGTAATGGAGATCACGAATCCATTTATTAATAAAATTAATTAAAAATTCAGCTAAACATTAGGGTTTATTTAAAGGACATTTTTACAAATCAAACAAGAACATAAAACTAAAATGCTATTTAACTATAGTTAAACCAATATGACTCTGTTTGGGATCCCTCAACATAAAGAAACCAGAACAAATCAAAATAGAGCCATGAGATTAATAACAAACGAATAGTCAAATTTGATCAGAGTAACATTTGTAAAATCATTAAATGGACACTTCATGACAGAATAATAAAAAGTAAAGTAGCCATAATACATAAAACACTCAATCAAAATTTACAAATAGAAAAACAAAACCTAATGAAATACTTAGAAAGACCCTCAGATAAAGGCACATTTTTGGTTCAATGCACTAGAACAAACTCCTACAAGTGCTCCTTCTTTCCAGTGACATTAGAGAATGGAATGGGTTGCCTGAATCAGCGAGGCCAACCAGCGACTTAGTAGAGTTTCAGTTATTGATTAACATGCATGGCTAGATTGACACATGAAATGGGTAGAACGTAATTATTTTCTTTTTTGAACTAACGTCTTTTATATATAAGATAAGATAATCTTTACAAAGCTTATATAAACTCACACTGTCTGTCTGTAAGTCTGTTTATCTGTCTGTCATTCTGTACACATTAGTTCTCCCACACCAATTCTCGGATCAAGCTGATTTTTTGCACAACTATTCAGTGGCGTAGACAAGACGAATCTAATTTTTTTTAAATTAAGCTATTAGTCAATTATTGGTTATTCACGATTCAGTTTGATAGCAGCAAGGGAAATGAATCTTTCAGTATTCGCTGATATGACAAAATATGTAGGGTCTTGTTCCCTTAGAATATTGATATTGAACACATTATTTCTACACCCCCCCCCCCCAATTTTAGGTTCTAGTTGAAACTTTAAACAAGTCTATATTGTAGCATCTAAAACATAAACGAATTAAAAATACACGTGGTTGCCAATTAATTATTGGCAATAAATTATTTTGTTTGATATCGAATAAGAGAAATAACATCTGCATTATTGAGAGATATCGTTGTAAAAGTTATCTTACATAAGCCTTTTTTTTTTTTAATCAGTTGCATATCAATAACTTGTTGGTGTAGTTGGTGTAGTTCTAATAACTGGCATGGAATACATTTCAATACTTATTAAAAGTATATTGAATGTGAATTGATTACATTTTTTTTCCATCTTTTTTTCTTCTAGACAGAAACGCTTATTTCTAATGTGTGTATTGACACCGAACTGTCCAGCAACATTTGACAGGGGATATGCTTCAGTAATAGAAAGACTTGACAATTACTTTAGCATAATTAAATATCCATGTCGTAAGTATCCAGTGTAAGAACGTATATAGGTATAAACCACTTTGAAGGTTTTAGAATTTTTCTAGACCTAGACATAGATCCTCCAGCGCCGTTAGAAGAATAGGGCGAAAAGTAGGCTCCACAGAGATGGTCCCCGATGATGTCTACAGCCTCTTTCTAACTGGATTTTAGGGCTGTCAAGACGACACTAGGCCATGCTAGGAAGGTACTGCTTTTAGGTATTCCAAGAAGATACTACTTATTTTCGGACAATACTTTTTAGATCCTCTAAGAAGATACTTAGCCAGCCATGTTAGGACGGTACCGCTTTTATGTCTTCCAAAAAGATGCTTAGCCATGCTAGGACGGTACTGCTTTTATGTTTTCCAAATAGATGCTTAGCCATGCTAGGACGGTACCGCTTTATGTCTTACGAAAAGATGCTCAGCCATGCGAGGACGGTACCGCTTTTATATCTTCCAAAAAGATGCTTAGCCATGTTAGGACGGTACTGCTTTTAGGTCTTACAAGATTGCACTACACCAAGTTAGAAAGGTACGGCTATTATGCCTTCCAAGAAGATATTAAGCGCCATGTTAGGACGGTACTGCTATTATGCATTCCAAGAAGATATTAAGCACCATGTTAGGACGGTACTGCTTTTGATCCTAATGTTGTTGCTATTTTGTTTGAGCGTGATTCATTTAGTATGAAGACATGTCCCGTAAACCTCATACGACTTTCTGTCATAACTTCTTGAGGTGAGCGAGAGACCGCTCGGCAGCGTAGTTCTTTCTTGCTATCACATCACAGTCACTTGGTTTGCATGTGACTTTAAATATTCCTCTTAGCCATTGCTGTTTAGGTGCATTTAGCATCCTAGAGATCTTAACTGATGACTTTCTTGTCTTTCATGAATAGGTCGCTGATTGGACAACAATTTTACTATGAATAATACACATTTTCTTTAATAATTGTATTCGGTTGAGGGGAGGGGTATAATTTTTAATGAAGTTAATTATTTTATTATAACTGTGGGATGTAAGTGGTGCTAGAATAATCAAATATCAAAAAAAGAAGGAATGAGCTAGTTGTTTCACAAAGACCATACAGTGAAAACATTAAATCTAGATAAATTGAGTGACTCTTTCTCTTTCAAACCTAGCCTGGACGTAAGTTTCTACATATATTAACACTTTTAATTTATCTGCAAGATTTTAGACTAAGAACTACACCAGACTACACCAGACTACACCAGACTACACCAGACTAAAACAGACTACACCAGACTAAAACAGACTACAACAAATACAATAGTTATAAAAGAATGCAACACACTGACATTAATGATGATTAAGAAATAAACAGATTGATTGAAAGATATATATATATATATAAGAAAAAGAAACAGTTTTTAAAAAGAGATAGAGTTTTATAAAAATGAAAGTAAAATGAAACAACGTATGGGAATTACGCTCATTTTATCATTATATTTGGTTCGACGATGACCACTTTTGTCATCCAGGGGTCTGAGAGATTTGCATTGGATTTTAAGCTTCTCCATGTGGCTGGTGAGATCTAAGTGAGCTCGCAATGTTTAGCTGCACACTGGGCAGGTTAATCCAGCTGGAGCTAGTGTTATTGGCCTTGCTCTTTTTTCTGACGCTTTTTGTATTTCTTGTAGTGCCACAAAGATTTTCGAACAATTAGGTCGAAGTAGCACTTAGATCTTGTTTCTATCGGATGAAACCTTTCGGGGCATCTAAACAACAATCTAATAGAAAAACATAATTATCTAACTATTGATTATGACTTAATATCTAACATTTGTTATAATGTTATCTCTTTATACGATTTTATATTTATAATGATAAAGCTTTTTTAAAACTTATTTTTATCTAACACAAACTATTTACTTTCACAGCCTATACAAGAGAAGACGCTTTAGAAGGTAAACAATGTTATAATAATTTTATTTATAATATCCTATCTGACTAGATTTAATTATATAACGTTTGATTTTATTTTAAAAGGCTATATTTTATATCAATGCCAAGAATATGTAACTACTTGTAAACACACAAAAAATGGATATATTTATTTTAAAAAATCGTTTGTCTTTTTTTCGACAGAATTGAAGCGAAACAGTGCTTTTAGACAGAATTCAAGCTATTTCTCTGTGATCTTATCAGGATTTTTAATAACAGCATTGAGAAGTTTATAATATAAAAATGGGGTTAGACCAGTGATGCCCAATCTAATTTGAGCTACAGGCCAATTTAATTTCCGACGCTCGTATCGCGGGCCACCGAAAATGTACAAAATGAAATGAAATTGTCCTGAAACAACTTAATTAGAAGCCTGTGGGTCTAGTAGTTACATTTATTAACGGCATATCTGAAAGTTATATTTTTTTACGCGTCTAAAAAACAGTTTCACTATTCTACTTACAACATTGTAGCTAGCTTAACAGTGACTCATTTTCGTGTCTCTTTTTGGTAAATATTCTTAAAACGATCCTTCAAGCTCTAGGCGTAGTTTTACAATCGTTTATTTGCGGTTGAAACCAAGAGTACCATTTTTTGTTTGATAAATGCGTTGATATGTTGTTGTTTTATTTAAACAGCCCCACTACTATCCTTATATAACAAACACGTTGGCTTATTATGATGTTCCACAAAGAAGTAAAGATCGGTCACTTTTCCTGGTTATTCTACATTTAAAGTCCATTTGTAGTTTTTTTAATGCTCTCCCATTTCATAAAACGTACAAATGTTAAAGGTCATAGTATTAATCCATCTAAGAAAAAACGAGGACCCTTAACCGTTTCTTGGAGAGGCGATTTTCTACACTTTGTGCCGACGTTGCGGCGAGCCGCAAGAAACCACATCACGGGCGGGATGTGTCCCGCGGGCCGTATTTTGGGCATCACTAGTTTAGAGACATGAAACTTGAGCAAAGAGGAACTTTACTTTTTACTACTACCAATTTTACTAAGAAAGTTGACGTCTGCTACCAAACTCTCTAAGAAAGCTTACGTCTGCTACCAACCTCTCTAAGAAAGCTTACGTCTGCTACCAACCTCTCTAAGAAAGTTGACGTCTGCTACCAAACTCTCTAAGAAAGCTTACGTCTGCTACCAACCTCTCTAAGAAAGCTTACGTCTGCTACCAACCTCTCTAAGAAAGTTAACGTCTGCTACCAACCTCTCGATGAAGTCTAACGTCTGCTACCAACCTCTCTAAGAAAGTTGACGTCTGCTACCAACCTCTCTAAGAAAGCTGACGTCTGCTACCAACCTCTCTAAGAAAGCTTACGTCTGCTACCAACCTCTCTAAGAAAGTTAACGTCTGCTACCAACCTCTCGATGAAGTCTAACGTCTGCTACCAACCTCTCTAAGAAAGCTTACGTCTGCTACCAACCTCTCTAAGAAAGCTGACGTCTGCTACCAACCTCTCTAAGAAAGCTTACGTCTGCTACCAACCTCTCTAAGAAAGCTGACGTCTGCTACCAACCTCTCTAAGAAAGCTGACGTCTGCTACCAACCTCTCTAATAAAGCTGACGTCTGCTACCTTCAAAAAGTCCAGTAGGGAATCGTCGCCGAAGACGCCATTATTCCGTTGATTGTTAAAAAGGCTTTTATCCAACAACCGGGCCTGGACATGGAGCTCTTCATTCCGTGCCCTGTCTAAAGGCTTCCAGCGGTAGCGGTCATAGTGACTGACTGGGCAAGCCGACCGTACCTCACTACAAGTGGCCGGGAGCAGCACTTACCATGGGAGGATTGTCTCATTTTCCTAAACTGTAACCGCCACTGTTCCGTGTAGGGACCGCCATTATAGCTACGGGTCCTGATGACGGCCCACTTTGTAAAACGGCGTAACGGACTTTTAGGAATGTGTCCTGGGCGTTTTTTCCATCCCAACCACGAGTGAGAGAAAAAAAACAACTAAAGCTAGCCCAGGAAAGCCCGGCCGGGCCTGGTTCGCTACTCATACTTAGCCTATCTAGTTCCACTACTAGACGTTTCCGCGGAGGCGCCACGTTGAGGCGACGGGTAGCTGGCATCTTCCGAACGTCTGCTACCAACCTCTCTAAAAAAGCTGACGTTTTTTACAAATGATTATCTGTCCTTAATAATTAATTTAATGAAGTATATTTGAGAAACAAGGCAATCTTTCCAAAATTCTTTCTTCAAATTCTAAGATGGCGGCAACCACTTTTTTTTTTAAGATTATGAATTTATGCGTTCATGTTCATGCTTAGGGACTAATATGAAATCAAATATTTTATTATTTTATTATTTAAACAAATGTTACGCATTCTCATTTATCTATGACTAAATAATGAATTCAGCAAAACTTTTGCTTCACATTAGCATGATTTATTACAAATTTTTCATGACTTATTGACTTAACACAACTTGATCGTGACTTTATAGAAGACCTCTTTATGACTTTATCATGTAAACATCGTGATTTCTTTTTTTAACCTTAGCAAAAATTTTTACACTTTGAGATTATTATATTAATATTAGTATTATTATTTTAGTTTTCCATTTTTTTTTACAAACTATTTTGTTCATTTGTTGCGAACTAGCTGTTAATGGACTTATCATTTTTTAATGATATTATTTTTGTATCATTTTTTAAATATGTTTTTGCTCTGCTTTTGTTTTCATTCCCAATTATTTTGACTGAAAAAATACTTTTAGGTCCTAATTTACGCTTTTTTGTAAATAGTACTAATCTTACACTAGTAATGAATTTCAAGAAGTAATTAGTCATTTTTACAAAGCTTATTAAATCATTTCACTTTGTCTGTCTGTCTCTGAGTGTTAAAAAATTGTACACTTTATTATTGGTAATTTTTTTATTCTTGGTATCTCAAACAAGGGTGAAAATGTGTACTTAAATGAAGCGGTGGTATAAGCTCAATTTGTCCACTTTATGGGTCGTCGTTTAAGTCTTAGTGAACACCACATGAAAACTAGGACGAGATTATGGAAAACAAAAAGCTTTAAAAGATAACTATACAATTTTCCGTCAAGTTCCATAGTCGTAGGTTCTCTACTAACAGAGCGGTTACCGTGTTGGCTTTAGAAGCCTGAAAAGGTTTTAGCTATGAGTTCGAATTTAGGTTGTTTCCCCTTTTTTAATTTGCATAATTGTTTTTTTTTTTATTGTTAGTCTAGAGTCTAGATCTATTAAACATTTAATTACATGACAGATCCAAAAAGATCGATACAAAAATGCTTAACTTAAGCTTTTTTTTTTTCTTTAATGCATTTTTTTTGTTTTGTTTTTACTATATCAAATAAACAACAAGTAATTTTTAGAGTGTCACACTGTTTGGCAACTTTACTCTAATTTTGTCATTTACCATTTTAGTTCCTTTTATTGGGAGACCAAAACTCGCATTAAACAACAGACAGAACTAGATAGAGACATCCGTTCACATTAAAGTTAGATAAAAAAAACAAAAACAAAACAATAACACGAAATTGACACTGAAAAATCGAAATAGTTGTTTCAGCAATGTTAATAATACTGATTCTATGATGTGTTATACAGTATAATTTTATTTGATTAGTGTTTAACAGCTGTAAAAGTTATATTAGTAAAATAAATAACAATTAAATGTGTAATCCCTCTATTGCTAGTATCTGCACAAATAGTTTAAAACCTGTTAACTATTTTAGTCTTCATAAAGCATTCTGCACTCAAATCAACAAATATATGTTTGTAGACCAATGCATTGCCTACCTACGCTAGGGGATTGTCACGGACACCTACAGAGACTGATCTTCATCCACTGATAATATTTACAAAATGCATATATTTAAAAAAAAGATAATTTTAGATATCCTCTGTCCATATATTTATTCTATTTTATAATCTGGTTACTGATGATGAGGAGGCTAATGAAACCGTTCTCATATAATGCTAAAATGTTTATGGAAAAACAAAAACTATTCCAATGCGAACTATGTCAAAACCAAGATGCGCTTCGATTTGCTTTTTGGCTCAACCAGTAGTTATCTTCGCTTTGTTTTCAAGTTGTGAAAAATAATAAATTATTTAAGTATAGTTGGATTTGAGATAAACGTTTTAATTGATTCAGAAAAGAAAGAAAAAGAAGATGAATCTCGTATTTTTAACAATAAATGGATGACAAAGTTGTTGAGTTTTTTTTTTACTAGCCTTCATTGTTAAAAGTATGCTTGCTGTGCTGTGAACAGATTGTGATTTTTAAGAGTACAATTTCAAACGACAATATCAAACGAACCATCGCGTGATTTCATAGATAATTTGAAAACTGAAGAAACAGAAATAAAAAGCTAGGAATTATTGAATAAATTGACGAAATTGTGTATGGTTCTTCACAACAAAATGTTCCCCGGGGCCTCCTTGTCCTTAAATCTGAAAACATATTGCAATTCATAGCATGTTGCGTACCCTCTCGTTAAATCTCGAGTGTGGAAAGGTATGTGGAGAAACACTTGGAGAAGGTTACAACAATGTCCTTGAGCTGTGTAAACTTATCTCCTGTCAGGTACACTAGCGGGTCGTGCTACTCATCCCAGATTGTTCCATGATTATGTAATTTTCTAAACACAAAAGAAGAAGGTTGACCAAGTCCTTCAAAACTGCTCTCTTTACCAAGAGGCCTGTTCAAGACACTGGCCCCAAAACATCACAAAGAAAGAAAACTATATGGAGAACTCCTCGATTTGGAAACCACTGCGCTTTTCATCTCATATATTGGTCTAGTCATCTGAACGCTCCAACAGTTCATCTCATGTATTGGTCTAGTCATCTGCACACTTCAACAGTTCATCTCATATATTGGTCTAGTCATCTGCACACTCCAACAGGTTATCTCATATATTGGTCTAGTCATCTGAACACTCCAACAGTTCATCTCATATATTGGTCTAGTCATCTGAACACTCCAACAGTTCATCTCATATATTGGTCTAGTCATCTGAACAATCCAACAGTTCATCTCATATATTGGTCTAGTCATCTGAACACTCCAACAGTTCATCTCATGTATTGGTCTAGTCATCTGAACACTCCAACAGGTCATCTCATGTATTGGTCTAGTCATCTGAACACTCCAACAGTTCATCTCATGTATTGGTCTAGTCATCTGAACACTCCAACAGTTCATCTCATGTATTGGTCTAGTCATCTGAACACTTCAACATAACAAATGAAAATATCGAAGAAGAAGAAGAAAATACAAAAGAAGTGACAAAATATTTGCCATAAGTGCAGCAGTCGGGGAGGTTTTTTGGAGCTGGGTGGACTCAGAGGCGCAAAAAGATCCCGAGGTTAGAAATCCCAGTCTTCTCCACGATATGAACCCTAGATTCACGGTTTGGAAGCAAAGTGCTTTACCACTATGAAGGACTTAATTCCAAAGAATTCAAGAGACAATGAATAGGATCGACGATGCGAAAATAACGGGACAAAAAGACAGCCGATATTCATTAGACTACTACAGGCAGAGATTAGAGAGCAATACAATTGTTATATTACGAAAGGAAAACTTTCTGGAATTTTGGACTTTATCTTTTCTTAAAAAGACACTAACACTAATATTGCAGATTTTTGTCTTGTATTGTACTGTAGATGTTAAAAGTAAATAAAGTTTTGTCGGCAATGTCTTGCGTTAAATTTTATCCATATACGTTTAATATGCCATTCCTACTTAGTACTGGTAAGAAAATGGGATGACAAGGGGTTTAATAAGTTATGACCAAAACCTATTTTGTCGGTTACTGCCCTTCTGCTTTTCAATGACTGTGTGCAGATCATATATTCTCGGGACATCTGTATATTAGAATATATTAAATTCGTGTATTCTATCAGCAACAGTGACAACAAAAGAAGCAATATTAATTATAATAATAATTGCAATATAGCTCCTCCTTCGTTATCCAAGATAAGCATATTTATCATTTTCTATGGACTCGAAGGTGACTGTAAAAGTCCAATCTCCGCTTTAAAAGGCCGGCCGCATACGTGGCATGGTTAGGTTAGGTCCGTTGCAGATAGGCCTGCTTCTTCTCTCTGTTTTTTGTTGGTTCGGCGCTTTTTCACCCTGGCCAGTCTTCTTGCTTCAAATTTCGAGACTCACAAATTCACGCCATGAGGAGCGATCGAGAACTAGTGATTCCCAGCCGTGAATGTCGATATCGCATTTCTTGAAGGAGCTCTTGAGAATGTCTTTGTATCGCTTATATTGACCTCCTTGGGAGCGTTTTCCTGCACACAATTCCTCGTACAGAAGTCGCTTGGGAAGCAGTGGCGTAGCAAGGTACTCGTGGGCCCGGGTTCAAGAATATCTTGGTGCGCCCCTTTTACCCCAATAGGATGGATTCAGTGAGGAACAAAACAATTGAGTAATCTGAATGTATCGATAGCAAAAGACATTACGATACGATTAGCGAACCTTTTTTTTAATAAGTAATAATGTCATTACATTTGACTCTGTAAAAGTGTCTTAGAAGTCAGCGCTTGTACAACTTCTTTACAGAATTAAACGACTATAATGTGTTTCAAATGAACACATTTTTTATAAGTTCTATTTCTCATTTAACACATTTACATTACAAAAATACTTCTAGGTGTAAAACTAACACTTAGTTACAAAAACATTTTCAGGTCTTTTAAGAAGTAAAGTTAGAAACTAGTGTAGAAATGTCTCTAAACTTGTGCCTGTTTCTCGTCCCATTCAAAAATGAAGCCAACTTGCTTTTATAGAAATTGTTAAATAATTTTTTAATCCATCGAAACTTCGAGAATGACATCTCTGCTGAACAAACTGACACAAAGTCAGATGTGTGCGTGACAATGTTTGGAAAACTTGAAAATAAAAGAAACAGAATGAGCCTTGACAAAGTTGAATAATTAGCAGCTGTGTCAACAGTTTTTATTCGTAACTCTCGGGACTATCCCTATAGACTTCATTGTCATTGTCGTCCCCTTCTTTCTTTTTCTTTGCAACACACTCAAATATTTTCTGAACCAAACTCTCTCTCTATCCCCACTCCCTCCCCCCCCCCCCATTCCTGTGATACTTCGGCGCTGTGTTATGCAGATAATTCAAAGTAACACTAAAAAAAAACCGAATGGAAATAACAGGATAAAGGCCAACACTAGAAGTTAGTTAACGCTCAAAGTGAGTGTCGAAAAAGAAGCTAAATAACGAAAGAGCGTCGAATGTCATCGAATGTCATCAAGCTAAATCTCTACCTCAGTAACTAAAGCCGACCTTGCTCTAGGGCTGCCAAAAGGATTTTTTGTTAACTTCCAAAATCAATTTTTTTTTTAATTCGTCGCATCAATGTCAAAATAAAAACTTTCTTTTTTATGCAACAAATAACTTTTCCCGCCAAAATCCGAATCGTGCCACAACAGCATACAGAAAAAAAATCTAGCAACAATTGTCACCAAAACGCATAATAAGTCACTATTACAAAATGGGAGGCGCGGGGGCCATGCGCCTTGCATCCGAACCGAGGGGTCCCGGGCTCGAAACTGTTTTTTTTTTTTAGGACGACTCTTGAGTCCACCCATCTCTAAATGTGTACCCGACATTAGATAGAGAAAAGTAAGGGGGTTTGGTCGTTGTGCTGGCCACATGTCATCCTCGTTAACCATAAGCCATTGAAACAGATAACCTTTACATGCCCTGTGCCATAGATAGAACTTGTATTTACTTTACCGATTACCTGTAGCCTAATGTAAGTAGTAAAGTAAAAGTAAAGTTTCCCTTTCAGACCTTGTATTCTACAGGGCAGATGAAGATCCCGAAATTGAAAATCCCAGTCTTCACCAGGATTCGAACCCCGGTCCCCGGTTCGGAAGCTAAGCGACTTTCCGCTCAGCCACCGCGCTTATTCTATAGCAATTCAAGCCTCTAGTACATGTATTTGTCTGACAATAGGTGTTTAATTTTTTAACCTTTTCTTGCTAGACAAATGTACATTGAGGTCGTTATACCTATATGTCATATAGACGCATGGAATATGCTGTCCTAAAAAAAACAAGCCAACGCATCATTGAATTGCATACACCTATATACAAACTAACAAAATGATGTACATGCTAATGATGAGATAAAGGCAAGACTTTTTTAAAATATCTTTTTATTATTATTTTTTTAATTGACCAGAAAATAAGGGATGATTAAAAAAAAACTTTTTGTATAAAATATACAAATTAAATCAAATAATAAACATTTCTTTTAAAATATTTCAGTTTTTTCTCTTATAGTTCTCCATTTCTCTCTCTCACTTTCTCTCAATCTCTCCTGATAGTTATAGTAAATATTTTCTATCATTCTTGCGATCTCATTTTCACTGTTTTTAGATTTCTGTCTGACTGTCATCTCTCTCTCTCTCTCTCTCTGTTACTCAATTACTCTCTAACTCTAACTCTCTAACTCTAACTCTCTAACTCTAACTCTCTAGCTCTAACTCTCTAACTCTAACTCTCTAACTCTAACTCTCTAACTCTAACTCTCTAACTCTAACTCTCTAGCTCTCTAACTCTAACTCTCTAACTCTAACTCTCTAACTCTCTAACTCTAACTCTCTAACTCTAACTCTCTAACTCTCTAACTCTAACTCTCTAACTCTAACTCTCTAACTCTAACTCTCTAACTCTAACTCTCTAACTCTAACTCTCTAACTCTAACTCTCTAACTCTAACTCTCTAACTCTAACTCTCTAACTCTAACTCTCTAACTCTAACTCTCTAACTCTAACTCTCTAACTCTAACTCTCTAACTCTAACTCTCTAACTCTAACTCTCTAACTCTAACTCTCTAACTCTAACTCTCTAACTCTAACTCTCTAACTCTAACTCTCTAACTCTAACTCTCTAACTCTAACTCTCTAACTCTAACTCTCTAACTCTAACTCTCTAACTCTCTAACTCTCTAACTCTCTAACTCTCTAACTCTC